TGATGGGCCTGGGCAGGCGCAAATATGGTAAATATTGACTCGATAAGTTTTATTTTGGTGTTACCTGGGCCCTGAGTCAGAACGCCTATTTACTGGCATTATATCATGCAATCTAGAAAGTGCCTAGCTAGGTTTTACTAGCTGCGAACAGGATAGGAAAATTTATCTAGGAGACATCTAGGCCCTAAGTCAGACTGCCTCTTTATTGGCGTTTGCACATATACTCAAGCTAGTACCTAGCTAGATTTTACCCACAATATCCCGAATAAAAAATATTCATGTTTTACTGTTATTAGAAGCTGTATTTATTAGCAAAATATTGTTTGAGAGAAAGATGGAGCGTGTGTGTCAGAGAGAAATAAACAAAACAATTTTGTTGACGCATTTTATTCGTCAAGATCAAAATATACTGCATATTACATTCGTGGAACACAAATAAAAAAAAAAAATAAATCATTTCCCATCGCGGTGGAGAAGAGGCATGGTAAACATTGTTTTTTGTTTGTCAGGTTCATCTTGAATGAACAAAGTCACTAATTTTTTCGTTATTACATTTATGGATTTTGTTATTGGTTTACTACATAGTTCGTTGTGTAATTTCCACATCTGAATACGACTTGAGTTGAATGGATACGTAAACATTGGTCCACTCAACTTGAGTTTCCTTATTGACATTTGTACGTCCTCACAATCGTGCTGTCTCCACATTTTTTCAATCACAACGCAAGTACCACTATTTAAAAGAACATGATTATTTGGATAAGATGTTCGCAGAGTAAAGCCTTTGTATCGCAGTTCTTGTATCTCAAAACAAACATTGTTCCATTTTTCTTTAACTATAAATGAAATCGGCGGCAACGTAAGTTTTTTCATCGCAAGAAAATGCTGTTCATAGAGTCGACGGCTAATTTGTGCCAACACCTGAGTACCAGAGCGGATCATTCTTTTTAATTTACCCAAAAAACTTTCGAATGGGAAACAAGTTATTCGACTAAGGCTACATCCGTAATTTTGCACATCTTCGGTCAAGTGTAACAAATTATGCAGGTTTTTCGTAAACGACGTCTTTCCATATAAATGGCCAGCATTTTCCACGAATTTTTTTAAGTACGCCTTAGCTTTATTGCAATAAACTAAAGCGTATTCATCGGAGCATAATAATCGACAAGAAGCATGAAAAAGTAGAAAGTGTCGATAACAACTAGGTTTTAATAATTTTCTCATAAGGATTGGGCCACTGTAAAGCAAAAAAAAACGAAATTCCGTGGCCTTGAACTGTAAGAAGTGCTTGAGCGCTCTTGTTTTTCGCTGAAATTCGACCGGAACTTGAAAAGCCATATTTACTGATCTTTGTTCTAAAACCTTTTTTTGTTTCACACTCAATTGAAAAGGAAATTTTTCTAGCCAATACTCGAGCAATTTTTTCATCACACCTATACAACAAAGATGCATGAAATCGAGGATGAAGCAAGTAACCATATTGACCTTAGGAGTTATGTTCAATAGGGGCGTTGAATGGGTATGGTGATCTGGCTGTTCTTTGTTACGAAAAGAGTTATCCGTTCTTTTTTTATGTTCTCCATAAGGGAAAATTGTCCGTTTATCGAAGCGAACCCCTTTAATAGTGCATCTCTCGCATGAAAAGAAACCAACGTGACCTTTAATCCCCTTGAGCAAAGCTCTTGCTGGGGTATCGCAGCAAAAAGCTTTAATTCTAAATTGGTAATAATGTCCCTCAATTTCCACTCCATTATTTAATCTGTTCACTTCGTTGATGAACTTTCCTAAAAACGCATCAAGTTCTTTCGGTTTTTCATCTCCGTAATAGACTCCTATAGGAAAAGGCTCGTAAACGTTGTAATGATTGTGAATTTTACCCAAAATGGGCCACATTTGGCGCGTACTTGATTTGTATACAGGCACCCCATCTATATTTATCAATAGTTCTATAGAACTTTCGTGGAAATCAGGATTGACATTTTGTAATCCTTTTTCGATCCCAAAGTACACGAATTCGCCAGTTCCAACTGTCTCAATTCCATACTTTGCGTTATAAGTTTTTAGGAAACTTTTACAAGTTTTTGGCAAGTTAGGAAGTAGCTTGTGACGCAAAATGTACAACAGTTTATCACCGTTCGATTGAGCAATACCACTTTGAATAATCCACTTTCTGAGTTCAGGTTCCTCATCAAAATCTGGAGGGTATCCTTTTGGTGCTTTCTCGCAAATAAACTCCACGTCGTCATCGGCAACAGCCCCTTCGTCCGGACTATAGTAATCTTCATATTCATAGTCGATATAATCTTCGTTATCAGTCTGTAAATTAACTACGATTGATTAAGAGCATTTGATAAAATTTGTATTCCAAATGAACGTACCGAAAATTCATTGTGGGGATCAACTTCGCGAATGTCGTCCTTTCCAGAAATTACTCCTTCTGTTCCCACATGTTGGTGGTGTTCATAAACAAGGTTTTCGATACTGTCATCAACGAAATTTTCAATACCGTACGTAAATTCATTGCCTTGAAAATAAAATGAGCCAAATGTAAATATGTATACGTATGATTCATGTGTACAGAATAACGTTTTATTCTACACGGTTTAATTATTTCTAAATATAAAAATACAAATCGGTGCAAATTCGAGAAGTGTTAAACCACCATGTTCAGTAGCTGCAGAATCAGCGAAGAAACCTTGCAAATCAGAGTCGTAGACTGACTGAGCCTTTTTTCTTTTTCGACATTTCGTAACACGTAACACATTTAATTTTTTTTTGCTCATATTGCGCGATACTTTTCGGTAAAAAGATGTGTGCATAATAATAGCCCTAAATGTGCTCGTTTCGGCACAGCTTGTGAATTATTGGTGTCACATCGACATGGAAATGTGTGTAAGACATCGATATTTTGAGACAACATCGAGTGCTTAAACATCGATTTTTGCTACCCGATGTTTTATCAACATTTATTGTTTGCGTAAATTATTTTTCAGCTCTGAACATTTTTTGTATCTAACAACACTATTTTTATTATTTCAACAGATTGAATAATACATTTTTTTTTATGTACATGTGTAAATTCAATACAACTCTGACGCGAATGATCACCAGAGAGTAACCTACTGCTACGGTTCTCCTTGACTACTTGACGGATTTACCAAAAATCTCTGGGTTCGTATCGCCGGATTGCTAAATAAACGCTGAAGATGACCAAATTACAGTACAATTGGTTGGAAAATCCGATTTTGACAGGGCGTTAGGTATTGAAGTTAGCTGGAGAAAACTGCGAAACTGTAATTTTCATGTTACACACAAACAAACCTATGCTTATTGTTGATGTTATTTCTGCATTTGACGTAGCGTTGACGCTTTTGTTTAGGTATGGCACCTCGGCGTTAACTCTAGGCGTCAGAAAACGCTCGTTCCAACGCTTTTGTTTAGGTATGGCAGTTATATACCTGCGCTCGCACTCATGTCAACTCTAGAACGTTCTGCCGTCAATCGCACATTCTCTCGCTGTTCGCGGTATTCATCCACTTCTCGCTGTCGAATATTCTACGTCATTCCTCGAGCATTCTACCATTTTCTCGTTGTTCGCTTAACGCTTCCGCAAGATTAGCCATACTTACGGTGACCATAAATATATTTTGAAAATGCAGGACAATTTTTCAAAAAATTTTCCTACATATAATTGCGTAGTATAAAAATAACAAAAATATAATATATGTATATATACATTCCTCGTCATTTGAATAGCGCACCGTTTTTTTGATTTTCTACCATACAAAGTATGCTTGACAAAATTTTTATATGGAAGAAAATGCGCAGCACCGTCAACAAAAAAAATTGTCGCCCCTATGTTTATTTTTTTTTTTGATTTTCAAAAATTTTTTTTGGCACTGAGTTTTTGCATGCAGAAAATTGTGTTTTTTAGTCATTTCATTTCATATTCAATCACTTCATTACAATAGTCGATTAATTTTTTTAATTTAATCGATTGAAACAAGTATTTTACTCTATCTTTTAATAGTAAATAATCGATTATTTTTAAAACAATCAAAACTAAAAAAGGGATATTTAATTTATTCTTTTTAAATATTCAGGGCCGTTTTCTCATCTAACCTTTAGATTACCGAACTCTTTATCATCTCGATATACGAGCTTTCGTTTTCTCGTCAGCGCATTAATTTCTCGAATCGATAAATTATTCCTGACCCGATGTAGCCTTTAAAAATTTTTACCCAACTTTAAATTAAACATTTCCAACACATTTTTTTTCTTTGGTTTTGGTCCATGGTTAAGATGTATTAGATATTTGAACCAAGGTTTGGGTTTTGGCTAACAGCTGCTTTTGCTCTTTATTTGCAAGGCGAATTTATACAAGGTGGTAGCGGAAGACCAAACACAAAAACTACACTAGCAAACTAGCAAACTAAATGCACAAAAGTACAACAAACACATCATTTTGACAAACAGTACGAATTCGCCTTGAAATCAGCAGCTCCGGTAACACCTCCTCATATGAATTCAGCTTTTCTCTTTGCCTGTTGTTTTTTACGGATACTTTTGTCGACGTGATTTTTCTTATTGTTATCTTAATATCTCATATAAAAAATAGAAAAGCTGAACTTGAACCTCTTATATTTTACTTGCCCCAAATAATTCTGATATGGGTGAAATCATGGTAAAACGTTACATCGAGCGACATTTTTTGTTTTTGCATAGCGAAACGGTTGGTATTCTATACCTATGCCTTATGTTATATGTACTCACAAATTCATATTATTTATGTTATAGATATGTATGTAAAGAGAATAAATTAATTATCCTTTATTAAGTTTTGATTGTTTTACAAATAGTCAGTTATGTACTATTAAAAAATAGAGTAAAATAGTTGTTTGATTCGATTAAATTGCAAAAATTAATCGATTATAGTAATGAAATGATTAGTCGCTACCATTCCTAATCTTATTCGAAAAACGGTACATTGGTTGCGGCGAAAAGTTTTGCTTCCATAATTTGTGCAAGGCATCAATAGTGCGGATTATATGGATTAACTATTAATTTAATTGTGGTTCATCATTTTTAAACATCAGCGACAAAAGTACTGAGGTTAGTATCGATCGTTACGTTTTTATGTGCTGTGTAATTTATATAGTGTAACTATGCGATGGCGTTAACAATTAAAAAATGTTTGTAGAATACATATCTGGTGACAAAATCGCAATGGATATTGACTACGACTTGTACGACTACAAACTAGTAAAGTTTCTTGAAGAGTCTGTCGACGTGGTCCTGCCACATGTCATCGACATAGTTTACAAAGATTGGGTCTACTTCAATACTAAACTGGGTGTCTGCGAAACACGTTTTCCACCTTAAAAAACTGATTGAAAAATCAGAAGCACCCGCAAATTGGGAATCATATGAAATCGAAATTGTCGGTCATGCAAGTGAGTTAAAATAATATATCATTCTATTGCGCTTTATGAAATGTCGCAAAGTGGCATTTTGGCGGCGTAAGTCTAGGATTTGGTATCTTAAAGCTGATATTTCATGTCTATACAGAATCGTACAATGAAGCACTTGAGCGACTACAAGAATTAAGGAAGAAACCATTTGCTTTCACTGACAATGAAAATGCTTCCAAGAAATCCGAAGCTATGAAACGAGAACTTCAACGCCGGGCAAACGCTGCAGCTTTGAATGAAAAGAAAGCAGACGAACACTTTAGTGATAATGTTTGTTCTTTGAGCGAAATAGAGACAGGTAATAAACAAGCAATCAGAATGCAAAATAAAAGCAACATGTTTTTATTTTTGATATGTTTTAGAGGCGGATAAACCATCCTCAAACAAAAGGAAAGATAAACAATTTATTTCCAAATTAAAGAAGCCAAATCGAAAAAGTAAGAATTGACTAGAACTTTGGAAATTTATAGTTTTCAATATATCGAAGGTTCATATTCAATATCCGCTATCTGCAATTTTTACAAAAATGATTTTATGATATTAGACTGCATCTGCAACTTAACTGCCATTAATTTTACTTTTGCAATTCAATAGTACATTTTTCTAACAAGCGATATACAAGGTCAATATTAACATAATCGATGACAGTTAGGCCTTAGGTGGATTTTTATATCGGAATCTCAGTTTTGTGAAAATCGAAAACTGAGGGTATTGAATATAAGCCGTAGATATGATATTTATACATATATACATCAGTTAATTCTTAATTTACATTTAGGACGATCGCCACAATTTTCAAGTTCACCTGAAGCCTCTCCTGCTAAAAGATCATCAAAAAGTCTGAAGCATCGCAAAGATTTATACAGTGATGGTAAATATAGCATTTTCAGTTTAAATGAAACCATTTTCAAATTAAGCGAAACCTTTTTCAAATTAAATGACACCTTTTTCAGACTAAGCGAAACCTTTTTCAAATTAAATTAAAAAATAAATTGCATTTTTGTATTTAAAATGCCAAAACTGGTTTCTTAACCGCTATGAAAATGAAAAAAATATATAAACAAACTTTGGCAGTTTAAAGTGCAAATATATAAATAGAAAAAAATCAAAGCAGCTGTTTTACGCTACAACTTATTCAATATGCCTTGACCGTAAAGAAGAGCAACGTGTAACAGCGAATTCACAGTAAACCAAAAAAGGAAGTTTCATTTAATTTAAATAAAGTTTCATTGCATTTGAAAAAGGTTTCATTTAAACTGAAAATGCTATATTTCATGGTTGTATTTTTTCATTTGTTTTATCCATGCCTAAATTTTGTAATCGGTCTACGACTTTCAGAAAAAATCGTTGCAAGCTCGTACGAAGTGAGAAGCGAGAACTTAAATACTCTTTCCAATGCAACAACATCCCAAAAATCAAACAGCCCCAAAGTAACCTATAATCAAGTTTCAAATTATAATGGTATGGGAATTATAAGAGTAAAAATTTCTGAAATGGGACTCTCAAAACTGAAACTCATTAACCACTGACCATTCATTAATTTTAAAACGCTTTTAAGGTAATTTTACACTTGTGGTGTTCACAGTTCGTTACAAAATGGGTTGCAGAATGCTAACGTATTGATGTAGAGGCAAACAATTTTAAACAGTGACACTTTATCACAATAGCAGTCAAAAATATATAAATTAGTCAATAGCTAATTGCTTTAGAATTTGAGAGCCCCACTTCAAAAGCTTTTATACTGCAGTATTTTATTAATATATTGCAGTACCTTATTATTATACTGCAGTGTCTATTAATTGATCAAATTAAATAAATTTCTTAGTTTTGATGGAAATTCTGAAAAAGCAAACTGGAATCGAAACCGAAATAAAATTTTTACGGTCTGAACTTCGAGAAGTGAAGGAATTAATCAACGCATTTCAGAATAGTGATTATTCGGCCAGATGTCATTAAAATGGTCATCGCGTGACATCAAATATTCATTCCTTTATTGAGAAATATGACATCGAGTTACCAGTCTCTGTTGAGCAAAACTTAACAACGTTGAGCCAAAAATTAATGGAAGATGATTTGTTCTGCGCAGATTTCGTAAGTTTTGGACAAGCTTTGTTTCTTTGCACCTTGTAGCAACTAGTAAACTACACTCACAAAGAGAGGCAAGAAGGAAGAACGAGCAAAATATATGAAACCGAAAACTAGTAGAGATTAGTAAGTGAACAGATGATGGATGCTTAAATTAAATTTTATTTAAAAATTCAACAATTCGCCATTATTTAATGATTCACTCACTACCTAAACGTTTATTTATCTTCCTGTTGAATCGTTTGACAGCAGTTTGTGTTTTCACGCTCTTATTTTTGCTCTCTACTACTAGTATTTAACTTCTTTTTGGTTGTTTGTGTTTCCGACAGGGTAGAAATTTGATGCATTGTAGAATGATTTCCTTCGTCCCTTGTCAACTTTGGTTCGTGGTAAATCGGTTTCGGCGCTCTGCCATCCTCAGTATCATTTTTCGCTGTCGAAATACATCACTAGTTTTTTACCTTCCTTTTATTAGCTCGGGATGTAACTATGTAATATTGATGCGCCTAAAAGATGCAGCGATTTCTATTCTCAAGTTACATACCTGATGACAGTACGAATGGCAATTATAATAGGGAGGTTTTAGTTTTTTAAACTATAATTTTATTATGTTACGCAACGGTTTACTACCAGAAACATGTCTATTACTAGTCATGAGTACAGAAACACTAATACAAATGAATTTTTGAAGGGACAAAATATTCATATTTTGATGACTATTTCAGAAATTGGCTATCATGAGTCTCTTTAATCGACGCAAAACACTTGCAGTAAATTTAGCGAATATTATTAAAAACATAATTTCCCACCGAGTTGCCATGAAATACACAGCTGTAAGAAAAAGTCCGGAGAAACAGATTTTCAAAAAGGAACACAATAAAATTTACAGCATCATATTCGGTGAGTTTTCCAGCAAATATTTATAGTCACAAAAGAGCCCCAGCTCGGAGCGCTTACTCTCATAATGTGCTAAACTCAGACGCGGTTATATATGAGCCGCTTTTTTTTTAACTGGCATAAGTCACTTCACACCTCTTGTGCTTAAATGGCCGGTTACCTGTATCTGAACATGCCGGTTATTCGTGCAACTTCATCAATCAAAGGTAAAAGGTTTTGTCATTAGTTTATGACGATAGAACGATTTACAAATGGATTCGGTTACAAGTAACCGGTCATTTAAGCACAAGAGATATGAAGTGACTTATGCCACATTCAAAATAAACGCCCCATATGTGGCCTTATGTACCCCATTTGGGGCTCTAAAATTTTTTAGAGGCATATTTAAAAGTTTTTTTGGCTCTCCGAATATATTTGCAGGGCTTAGCTATGTGCATATATGTATAAAAACACATTGCATACACACATGTATAGTAACAAAAATAATCGTTTTGTTTATTCTTCAGATTTTATTAATACGACAAGAAAAGAAGATGAGCATATTTGTGATCAGGAATTCGCAAATTTACTGGGTTCGTGTCTGACGAACGCGAAAGACTGGGACGGACAAAGGAAAAACAGAAGATCAGGCGTTCAAGAATAAGCAAACGCAAAAAACAAAATTCAACTTTGTACTTAATTACAATAATAATCATATTCTCAAAAAAAGCATTTCTTTATTTTTTATTCACATAGAGCGTCTCAAAAAATCTGTCTAGGGCCTACATAAACTTCGCTAGCAAGGGCCCAGTTAGATTTTTCTTATAAGGCCCATGAAAGCAAAGTTCAGCCCTCTGGCTGGGGCCTACTTTGGCAAATCTGCCTAGCTCCAGCATAGAATTCGCTACCAGGGTCCAATCAATCCAAAGCATTAACAAACCATCAAGAGCCTGGCCAAACTTTTCTTGGAAGGCCCATGAGTTTAAAGGGGTGAATCGAGCTAGGGCCATTGTAAAATAGAGCTATAATTTCTAGCCGGGTAGTGTCGATATCCAAACAAGTTTTTTTTTGGTTGGAAAAATGCGAGTATACTTAAATTAAGCTTAATTTTTTGATAAATCACTTAGTACTATTACAAGTTTTTAGAAAATTCACTTTGATTTTAAGTTTTAAGGCAATTCAAATACAGTATGTATTTTAATTAAATAATTAAGTGTGTACACATTAATGTTGAAAAAACAATATCAAACTTAAAAACTACTGTCTTACTCCTTGCATGACTGTACTCTATATTCGCCGACATCCCACGCCGCTGTCTCAAAATGTTGGTTGTTGCTGTTGTAAATTATTTTCCCCCGCTGCAGTCCCGTAACAATTTTAATTTAAAGTTGATTTAGTATTTCATTTAAAGTTGATTATGTATTTTAGTAAAAGTTGATTAAATACTCCAAATATAGCGTGAGTATGCCGCTATGCGAACGATCGCGTGGGGTTACTGCACAAGTTTTCAGGCTACCTCTGTTCGGCTGGTGGTATGCCTAACGCGACCGCCGCATGCCCACTTACAGTGAAAAAATACTGTTTTACGCGCGTATCGGGCTTTCTGTATACGCGCGCATGTGCGTAGCGAAGTGGCGTGGCTTAATGTTGCGGTGGCGTTATGTATGATTGCAGGTGGTGGCGTGGCTTTTATACATAAGCATATACTTGCGTGGTTGGTGGTTGGCTGTACTCAAAAACTTGTTGAAAATTTATGTAAATATGTGGTGTGCGACGTAAAAATTTGGTACCGTTTTAAGGTTCAGCTGCCGTTTTCATAGCGGTATGCCGTTTGAAATACAGTCCGGTTCACTTGATTAGAGGCAATAATTTTTATGGAAGAAAATGGTTATTAAAGCCACCGAATTTGATCAAGTAACAAAATGTTTTCTGATAATTCAAGCTAAGACTGAACTTTGCTCGAAAATAAACACGTATCAAAATATTATTCCATCTAACGGTATTTCACAGCAGTAAAACTTCAGCAGCTGTAATATTGTGCTTGATTTATTGGTTCACTTGAATAGAGGCACTAGCCAAATAAGAAAAAAATAATAATAAATACAGATTTGTTTTTTTTTTTACATTTATTATTTAAAGCTTAATATTTTGTGCTGCCACCTTGTTTATAAATTACTTCGTAAATACGTTGAGGAATGGATTTGTACAAATTCTCTAGATAGCCTAATGAAATTTCAGACCAGGCCGTTTTAATGCTTCGAATTAAAGCATTTTTGTCTTCAAATTGTTGCCCATTCTCATAAACTTTACGAGCAAGCCATCCCCATAGATTTTCAATAATGTTTAGATCTGGGGAATACGGTGGCCATGCTAAAGTTTCAACGTTTTGGGACGCAATCCAACTTTTGACCGCTCTTGAAGTGTGTACAGGTGCATTATCCTGTTGAAAGATCCAGTTAATAGGTCCAAATGTTTCCCGCATCTCGGGAAAAGATGATTCCAACAGAGCTTTATAGCTGTTTCCCGTCATTTTGTAGTCTACAATTTTCAATTCGAACGCGCCGTAGTACGATATTGCTCCCCATACCATAACACCACCTTCACGGCTGTGATGTCGACTCAAGTACCTTTCTTCCTTTCTTAAGTCATGGAAATAGTAATTGTATCCATCCGGCCCGTCCAGATTAAACTTCTTTTCGTCACTAAATATTACTTTTTTCCATTCACCGGGGTCGTTATTTGTAACAGAACTCCAAGCCATGTGGTCCCTTGCAAAATCGAGGCGGCGTTCCTTGCGAAATTTATTTAGAGGTGATTTTTTTTGTAATTTTTTATGCTTCAGATGTGGCGCTTTTAGAATAGCCCTTCGAACGGTGGGTTTGCTGGCTGCAACATTTGCCATTTCTTTAATTTTTGCTGTTGAAAGGGCGGAATTCGATGCAATCCTAAGGATTTTGCGGGTTTCCTTCGGTGTCAAAGCCATCGCAGTTCTGCCTTTGTAGTTCTTACCATAGGAGGTACCTTGTTTCATGTAATGATCCACAACATTTGGACTTCGACCAATTTTTTTGGCAATTTGGCGATTCGAAAGTCCCTCTGAGGTCAAGATATCGATTTGTCCTTTTTCGCGATCAGTTAAACCTTTCTGCTTTCCCATTTTATTAGAATTGAGAAGTTTTCGACCAAACACAATGAATACTTAAAAAAAAGCGATCCTTTTTCACACCTTTATTGCGCAAATAATGTAGGCAAACTGGGCGCCTCTATTCAAGTGAACCAATAAATCAAGGACAATATTACAGCTGCTGAAGTTTTACTGCTGTGAAATACCGTTAGATGGAATAATATTTTGATGAATGTTTATTTTCGAGCAAAGTACAGTCTTAACTTGAATTATCAGAAAATATTTTGTTACTTGATCAAATTCGGTGGCTTTAATAAACATTTTCTTCCATAAAAATTATTGCCTCTAATCAAGTGAACCGGACTGTATGTATGTATTTAATATATGTACGATGTGAAAATGCTGTACGCCGTAAAAACTGTACGGTGAAGAAATGCTGTGCCGTTTTAATGTTGCGATACCGTTTTCATAGGAATATACCGTGTGATGGTGTTGTACAGTAATCCCAAAAATGTAGTACACTCATTTTTCTACTCACCAACCACGACCACCGCCACACTTGTGTTGCTTTTAGCACTTTTTCATGCGCGTAAGGACTCCAGAGGCTCCGCGTCATGGTCGCCATGTCGTCCAAACTTCCTACCCGAATACTCGTGCTTGCTTACCTTTGGTATTTAGGAGCACCAAGACGCCGGCTACTCAGAAATGTTGAACTGGTTATCACCTGTGATGTGTCTGACCGTCGGACTGTTCCGGCTCTAGGTGGGGCACCGCTGAGGCTTAAAACTGCTCGATTTAAAAACGCAGAATCTTGGTAGCAGTACTGGCTCCTTATTGCTGGCTGGGTAGCAAGTCTGCTTACGGAGTTTGACTCCTCAAACTCACAAGTAAAAATGTTCTTTTAAATTCAAACTTATAATTATCGTGCACCCGCGGCAACTGCATTCGCTTATAATATATAAACACCGTTTTCAAAACTGATTTATAAGAAATTTATTATTTTTCACAGGGATAAATCAACCGATTAGTTTAAAGTGCGCGAAATGAATGAATGCTAGAATTTTCTAAGGTACCGCTTAACTTAAAAGTGGAACGTAAGTTTACCTATGGAACAAACCTTTTGTCAGTGCTGAATTAGGGTTGCCATTACAAAGTTGATCTGCAGAAGGTCGCCGTAACTATTCAGAAATCAGCTGTTGTAGATGCAAATCGCTTTTCACACGCGAAATTGTTCATTGAAAACCTGAAAGGAAAAGGAGATCCCGAACGAAAAGGATATTCTGCCGGACCAACTAGAGAGATG